ACAATGCTCTTGCAGTTCCAATTCCCAAAGACCTGGTTGATTTGTTGAAGATCCAGTTTAAACTTAATGAGCTTTTGTAAGCTCCATGAAAACTACACTAATATAATTTTCTTCATTTTTGCCAAGGAAAAGGAAAGAAAAATCTGAGTATCTACTAATTGAGCACCACATTTAATGACGTGTTTCCCAGTCCATTTTTAATTTCCAAGCATTCTAAACACTTGCCATGTAAAACGTTTTCTTCTTGGTCATAAATTTTAGTGAATTTTCTTCCAATTGTACATAATCTCTCAATCTTAATGCTTGTGACTTGATGATTTCTCTGACCAAAAAAAAAAAAAACTTGATGATTTCAACTTCCGAAAATTTTAGTCATCGCGATTGACCTACCTATGAAAATTTGTAAAATAGCGTTTCGACCTCACGTCCAGACTTACTCAAAAGTTGAAACAACACACAATCAAGAAAACTTCAATCGACCAGTTGTGCTCTATCATAATGTTTCTAATCCACTTGTCCCGTGGTCAAAACCCCTTGTGGTACTAACCCAGAAAACATCCCGTCCAAATACATAACTACCCACTTTTTTTTTTTTGGGTAACCGAGGTGTCCGGGCCAGCTTGCGCGCACCTCGACTATTCCTCGGGGGAGACTAGCACAGCAACCCACCGCCATGGCCCCCCACTTAAATCACAAGTGCTCAGCTGGGGAATCGAACCTGGGACCAGTGCGCCTGACCACACAATCCCAAGTACGCACTAACCAACTGAGCTACCCATGGGTGGGTTAACTACCCACTTTTTCATTACCAATCAATTCAATAATGAGCACAATCGCTTCTCAAAGTTTTGTATTTACACCTGTGGTATTTGCTTAATTAATCCCTCTTCTTTTGTTTTCTTCTTCTTCTTTTTCCTCATCTCTCCCTTTTCTTCTTTAGGCATCGACGTTGCCTATCACCACTATCATCGTCGTCACTCAGCACCATTACCTTGTCTCTGACCTAACATGGTACAAAAGATAGACCAAAAAGAAGACAAATGATCACTTGGGTGTCATCATTTTGAAATGGCCGACATTACTCAAGGTCGCATTATTGGTCTTGCTTGCATTTTGGAATCGAGAATAATGTGACTTCTTTTTTTTTTGCTAAAAATTAAACTTTTCATTGCAAACAAAGCATTACAAAAAGGATGCATTACCTACATTAGAGCGAAATATAAAAGAAGACTCTACTAGTATAATATTTTAAACTCTAGATGGGAGATCATGGAAAAGAAAAGAGGATTTGGTGCCTATATGATTAGAGGCCCAATTTGCAAGTGCACGAGCAGCTCCATTCTTGGATCTATGGGTCTAGTCCGAGCTTCAACTTGGATTGTGCTGAAATTGAAAGCAAGAATCTGCAACGAAAGGCTGAATACTCCAAGGGCAAAGACCCTTTTGTTGGATGGCATCAATTAAGACCTTACAATTGCTTTAAAAAATTTCCTTTCGGATGCCCAGGGACCGAGCATAATTGCAGGCGAGAAGGAGAGCTGCTACTTCCACTTCCATCGGCGAGTTCCAACGTTCTCTCCTTGTCCAAGCTTGGACTACTAATCCGCTAGCCGATCGTGCAATGATACCTATGGCTCCTTTGTTATCTTTCCATGCACCATGTACATTAAATTTGAGCTCTTGATCTGATGGTGGGAGCCAGGTGTCTATTCCTACCCCAATCAAATTGGCTTCTGAACTTGTTGCGACTGTGTTTTCTTCCATGAACTTGTTTGAGAATTCCATAAACTCCTGTAAAACCAACTTAATTGCCTGGGAAGGATTTGGAATAACTTGATAATGTATTATGGAATTCCTATAAAACCATATTCTAATACATAGAATCGCTACATAGAGAGTGAAGAGTTTGCAATCGAATACCATTATCTGTGCAATTCGTCCTAGGTCAAGGAAGTGGTTTATCATTTCCTTTGGTGATGAGAAGTACCAAAGAGATGAGATGATACCCCATGGGTTCTGTCTCCATAAAATTTGGGCCAAAGGGCATGCTGTGAATAGATGGACCGGAGTTTCTTCTGAATTTCCACACAACGGGCAGGATGGGTCTCGAATGTGAAATAACTTACCGAGGTTAGCTCTACAGGGCAAGACATTGGCAGTTATCCTCCAAAACATCATCTTGTGCCTCTCAAGAACTCTAGCTTTCCAAATTTTGGTCCAAATTCCAGAGGCAAGGCCATTTTTTGTAGGCACTTTGATGAGCTTATAAGCGGATTTAACGGTAAAAATTTCATCAATAGTTGGCTGCCAAATCGATTTATCCACCCAAATGGAGGATGGAACTTGAATATAAAGAATGTCTTGGACCGAGGTTGGGCAAAACACCTGAGTTAGACTATTTACATCCCAAGATTTTATCCTTGGGATAAAGAAGCTCGCTCCTTTCCTTTGCTTTAAAATAGGATCGGGATCAATAAAAGAAGGAATATGATTTGGTACGTGTGGAATCCAAGGGTGATTATCAACCTCAATTGACTTACCATCTCTAACCTAGTAAAGAGTGCCGAGTTTGAGTATTTCTCTAGTGTCTATGATTGCCTTCCATAACTGAGATGCTGATGCCTTAACTTCATGGTTCCAAAGATTGGATCTCCGTAAATATTTTCCCTTGAGGACTTGAACCCATAATTTGCCTCTATCTTGTATCAGTCCCCAATCGAGTTTGAGGATCAGAGCATTGTTGAAATCCCTCGTATGTCTAAAACCCAATCCACCACTTTTCTTATTTCTACACAAAGAGTCCGAACATTTAGGTGTGAAGAACTTGTTTTTCTCCGCCGGGACACCCCACCAGAATTTCCTAGTAGCTACATCGAGTTTGTCACAAGTGACTCTTGGCAACCCATTGGATTGCATAGCATAGATCGAACTATTATGAACAACCGATCGAATGTACGTTGCTCTACCTGCCCAAGACAAGGACTTCCTTTTCCAATGACTAAGTTTGTTATCAACCTTCTGTTCAAGAAATTGGTATCTAGCTCTGCCATTTTCACGTTTGAAGAGAGGGTTGCCAAGGTACAATTCATCAGGATTTATCTTCTTCATGTTGAGTTCGTCCATGCAAAATTTTTTCATTCCCGTGGAAGTGTTTTTTGAGAAGAAAACAGACGACTTTTGATGATTTAAGCTCTGACCTAACCAGGAGCAGTAAATTTCAATGCTTTCCTCCAGCGCTCTCACATGTCTCTTTGTGGCTTGAACAAATAACAAGAAGTCATTGGCGTACATAAGGTGGGTCAGAGGTGGACTGTCCCGCCCTACTCTTATCCCTGTGATCATCTTCAAGTCCTCTTTCCGATTGAGTATTTTAGATAAAAGTTCAGAATAAATTACGAACAGGTATGGTGAGATAGGATCACCTTGTCATAGACCCTTTTGAGGTGTAAGACCTCCGGCCGACCTACCATTGATGAGCAGACTATAATGAATTGTCGAAATACACTAGTTTATGAGTCTACAAAAGTGATCAGAAAACCTGTCACACCTCGAACCCCAACGGGCTCGCGACACCCCTATGACGGTCGTATTGAACGCGATGTCCCAGGACGCGTCGCCGACCCAAACAAAACACCCACTGATATATGCAATCGGAAGCGAAATAAAATAACACAGACAATAAACAGTGACAGAGAAATAGTAATAGCACAAAACAATAATTGCATAACATATATTCGGCACCGGCTTACAACCTTCATTTACACCACAACCATCCAGGCTACTAACTTCAAACCACGCTTATCAAAAAGGGGCGGTGGTTGGTAAACTTCTATCCTCTACAAAACGGGGCGCTCAAAAGATAGGGTAACCCGACCTATCCTCGGTCCCCGTAGTACCCTGACGGCATCTCCAACTCGTTCACGATCGCGGATCTGAAATTGTTTGCATTACAGTAATGAGAATAAATCTCAATAAGCAGACAACCTAAACCCCACCTAGGCCAATGCGTACCCAGACGAGTCCCAACATGCAATCTAACAATTGACATATTTGAATTCACATAATCCACTTACCTCGCCTTCGATCACATGCCGGCTGTGCACATTAGTCAAACACTATAATGCAATAATAGCCCAAGCACATATCACAATCACCCGAGCGTCATACACACGCGCATTCATCTAATTCAACCAAATACATTACACATGCGCATCCATCCGACTTTCTCACGACCCGGGTCAACACCGCACAGGTCCTTTCCCGCCACCCGCATCAATACGCTCCAAGTTGGCAGCCCTCCGATCAATCCGGGCTTTGTCCCGCGTCAACACGCCTCAGGACCGTTCTCACGACCCGGGTCAACACCCCACAGGTCCTTTCTCACTTTCTCACGACTCGTGTAAACACGCCTCAGGTCAGCCCTCCGATCAATCCGGGCTTTGTCCCGCGTCAACAAGCCTCAGGACCTTTCTCACGACCCGAGTTAACACCCCACAGGTCCTTTCTCACAACCCGGGTCAACACCCCACAGGTTGGCAGCCCTCCGATCGATCCGGGCTTAGTCAAGCAAACAAACACGCCACTTAATTCAATCAATTCCATGCGAATATCACATTCGTTCCTTACGACATCACAAGTTCGCCACATTGCTCAACCATCATTCTAACACATCTCAAGTACCCAATTCCAAGTCATGAACTCCCAACAATAGCCCATAAATCCGACGTTCAAGTCGGCCACATTCAAATATCCAATTCACCCACAAACGCCACGACAGCCCAATCATCGAACACATCTCAATCAATTACTAATTAAGCCACAAATCACCACAATTTAATCCACTAACTAGCCACATTCACATATCAATCATATCCCAAACTTAGCCATTAAACCGATATTAATTAACCCCTAAACAAGTCTAATAATACCCAAAGTATTAAGTAGGGATTAGGAAGTCACTTACTAGGTTGTGGCCCAAAGAAAATCGGCTAGGGGCCAAAATGGCCCGGTCGGGGCAGCAGCGGCTCGGCGCGGACAAGGGCGCAGTGGCTTGGCGCGGGCGAGGGCGCAGCGGCCGGCCAACGGGCAAGGCCTCGGCACGGCCCTTGGCCACGGCCTGGGACTCTCGGCCACGGGCAAGACGCTCGGCCAGGCGGACGGGTGATGGGCCGGGCACGCTCGGGCACGACCTAGGCAATGGCCGAGGCGAGCTCGGCCACGGCACGGGACGGCGGCCGGGGCAGGGCGACTCGGCCACGGCAGGGGCAGCGGCTGGGCTGCTCGACCACGGCCGGGGCAGGCAAGCTAGGTGGGCTGGGCAGGCGGCCGGCTACGGCCAAGCGAGCGACGATGACGGCGACGGCAATGGCGAGCTGGGTGGCGACGACGATGGCGACGGCGAGTAGGCGACGGCGATGAGCTACTGTTGGGCGAGCGAGCTGACGACGAGGAGCTCGGTCAGGTGAGCTGCTGGGACGCGCTAGTGTCGGCGGCGACGACGAGCTGCTGGGGGGGTCGCAGCGGCGAGCTGTTGGACAAGACCCGCGGCGGCGACTGGTCCGGGCGAAGGGCAGAATTCGCTTTGGCGGACCGGCGACGGGCGGTCTCGAGGCGACGGCGGACGAACCGGCACGCGGCCAGGCTGGCTGGCGACGGCGACGGCGTGCGGGCTCAGCCAGGCGAGTCGGACGGCGACGGGACGAACGAGTTGAGCGGGCGGGACGCGCGACGGCGAGATGCTCGGCCAGCGGCGACGGTGGTGGCTGGTCGAGCAAGCGGCAGCGCGAGGTGGACGGTGAGTGGCGGTCGACGGTGACTAGTCGGGCGAGTAGAAGAAGAAGAAGCAGAAGAAGAAGAAGCAGAAGCAGAAGAAGTCGCGGGCGAAGAGGAAGAAGAAGGAAGAGAAGAAAGAAGGAAGAAGAAAGAAGAAAAGGAAGAGAGAGAGAGGGGTTTGCATGGGGCAGAGGGGGAGGGGACGTGCATGGGGGGAAGGGGGGGACGTGACCGGGTGAGGGGCGCGCGGCAGAGGAGAGAGAGAGAGAGAGAGAGAGAGAGAGAGAGAGAGAGAGAGAGAGTCAACGCAATGATTGTGCGATCCAATGGCCCACATTCGAACACGAAGTCGATCCAACGGTCCACTAAAAATTTCAATTATAAATTAGGAAAAGGCCGGTAGATACTAAATAAAATACACTAGGAGGGAGGTCTACTAGTCAAAATCCGCACCCGGTCCAAATTTCACTTTTCAATAACTCCTGACAATATCGACGCTGGCCACCATAAATCGACACCGTCCAATTAAATTCGTCACGAAACTCCGAGAAATTCGACACCAAAGTTCGGGCTCTAAATAACGGCCAAATTTGATCGAATGCGATTTTAGCGAAATCTCAAATTTAAAATAACCCGAGAGTGATTAGTTCTGGGCGAGATTCAACTATAAGCGCACTGACGAAATACATGTTTTATAAATCCCAAAATGGGTCGAAATTCAGAATGTCACAATTCTTCCCTCCTTACAAAAATTTCGTCCTCGAAATTTACAACTCAACCCGATTACTCAAACAAATAGGGGTATTGATGTCGCATCAACTCTTCGCTTTCCCATGTCGCACCTTCGGTTCCATGATGCTCCCAGATTATTTTTACTATCGGAATTGTCTTGTTCCGCAATACTTGTTCCGTTCTATCCTCGATCCTTACTGGCTTTTTCACGTACGACACTCTGTCGTCCACGTCTATTTCTTCATAATTCAGCATGTGGGTCGGATCCAGTTCATACTTCCTTAACATAGACACGTGGAACACGTTGTGAACTTGAGATAAATTTGGTGGCAGAGCGAGACGATAGGCCAAAGTGCCGATTCTCTCTAAGATTTCAAATGGACCTACGTACCTCGGGCTCAACTTTCCTTTCTTGCCAAACCGTGACAATCTTCTCATCGGCGACACTTTGAGGAAAACGTGGTCTCCCACTTGAAACTCCAAAGGCTTGCGTCTCCGGTCTGCATAATTCTTTGGCGGCTCTGAGCGGTCCTAAGTCTGTCCCGAATCACTTTAACTGTCTCGACTGACAGCTGAACTAACTCTGGACCTGTGATGCTCCTCTCACCAACTTCATCCTAACAAACCGGCGTTCCGCAAGCTCTGCCATACAGTGCTTCAAACGGAGCCATTCTAATACTCTGCTGATAGCTGTTGTTGTAGGCAAACTCAACCAAATGCAGTTGTTCCTCCCAGCTCCCCTTAAAATCCAACACACATGCTCGCAGCATGTCTTCCAAAGTCTGAATCGTCCTCTCAGACTGGCCATCCGTCTGGGGATGATAGGCCGTGCTAAATTGTAACCTCGTTCCTAATGCCATATGAAGATTTTTCCAAAAAGCGGCGGTAAACTTAGGATCACGGTCTGAAGTGATCGTCACTAGCACTTCATGGAGATGGACTATATGTCGCACGTACAAATCGGTATACCTTTCCAAGGCGAAATCCTTTTGCACAGGTAGAAAATGTGTTGACTTTATCAATCGATCAACTACCACCCAAATTGAATCATGGTCTCTCTGACTCCTCGGTAATCCCATGACAAAGTCCATGGTAATGTGTTCCCACTTCCATTCAGGGATTTCCAATGGTTGCAACATTCCACCTGGCTTGCAATGTTGCGCCTTCACTTATTGGCATATTAAACACTTAGCCACATGCTTGGCTACATCCAATTTCATGCCGTTCCATCAATAATGTTGCCGTAAGTTCTGATACATCTTCGCACTACCCGGGTGAATACTGTAATTACTACGGTGAGCTTCTGACAAAATCTCCTCCTTCAGCTCAGCATCGCAGGGCACACATAGCCGTCCACGAAACTTCAAAATCCCATCTTCAGACACCTGGAAGTCCGGTTTCCTTTTGGTGACATCCATTTCTAGAATCTTCTGAATCTCTGCGTCCGTTGATTGTAAGGCCTTAATCTTAATCTGGATTTCCGGTTCGATCCTCCAAGCGGCAAGTAAACTTGAGACATGACTCACTTCGAACTTAAACTCTGAATCCCGAACTCCTTCCAACAGAGTCCATTCCTTGACCATCATATGCGCGATGCTCGATTTCCGACTCAGTGCATCCGATACCTTATTAGCTTTCTCGGGGTGATACAGAATATCACAATCATAGTCCTTCAGAAGTTTCATCCTACGACACTGTCTCATATTCAATTCCTTTTGGGAAAACAAGTACCTTAAACTCTGATGGTCCGTATAAATCTGAAATTTCTCCCCACACAGGTAATGCCTCCAAATCTTAAGAGCGAAGATAATCGCGGCTAATTCCAAATTGTGAGTCGGATAATTCAGCTCGTGCGGTCTCAATTGTCGCGATGCGTATGCCACCACTCTTCCGTGTTGCATTAACACGCATCCTAGTCCCTTTAGTGACGCGTCACTGTAGATCTCATATCCTTCCGGTCCCGACGGGATTGTCAATACTGGCACGGTCGTCAATCTCTGCTTTAACTCTTGGAAACTCCTTTCACACTTATCCGTCTATTCAAACCTCGTTTCCTTCTTTAATATCCGCATCAACGGTGTCGCTAATGCCGAAAACCTTTCCACGAAGCGTCTGTAATAACCTGCCAGACCCAAGAAGCTCCGAACCTCGGTTACTGTCGTCGGTCTCGGCCAATTCGTAACAGCTTCAATTTTTGTCGGATCCACTGCAATTCCTTCCCCGAATACCACATGTCCTAAGAACGCCACTCGATGAAGCCAGAATTCGCACTTACTGAACTTAGCGTAGAGTGCATGTTCCCTTAAAGTTCGTAGAATCCTTTCCAAATGTAACTCGTGCTCGGCGGAACTCTTTGAGTATACCAAGATGTCATCTATGAACACTATTACAAACTGATCCAGAAATTCCTTGAATACCCAATTCATTAAATCCATAAAGGCTGTAGAGGCGTTTGTCAATCCGAACGGCATTACTGTAAACTCATAGTGCCCATACCTCGTCCTAAATGCCGTTTTTGGTATATCCTCCTTCTTAATCCTCAGTTGATGGTAACCCGTCCTTAAGTCAATCTTAGAGAATATCGATGCTCCTTGCAACTGATCAAACAGGTCATCTATCCTTGGTAGTTGGTACTTATTCTTAATGGTCACCTGATTTAACTGTCTGTAGTCGATGCACAACCTCAAAGACCCATCCTTTTTCCTCACGAATAACATTGGCGCTCCCCATGGAGACGCACTCGGGCGAACAAAGCCCTTATCCAACAACTCCTGCCTTTGAACTTTTAATTCCTTTAATTCGGACAACGACATCCTATAGGGTGCTCTCGAGATCCATTCTGTCCCTGGGGCCCACTCAACCATGAACTCCACTTCTCTATCAGGTGGCAGTCCCGGCAATTCCTGAGGAAAGACATCGGGAAAATCGCGCACCACGGCTATATCTTCTAGCCTCGGCTCCTTAACCAACGAGTTAATCACAAGATAGTTATCTTTCCATACCTAAAAAACAAGGCTTAATCCATCCAATTTCAATCCAACAGTCTCCCAAAGCAAATCACCCCGGTTCTTTACAAAATCCGAAATTTCCAAGCGATAACTCATTCATCCAAATCTTGTCAAATGATATCATCAGTAATTCCAAAATACATAAATTGATTGCGTCAATTTACCATGAGCAATTATATGTCTTACATGACCATTCAAATCTAAAATTTCCAAAAATCACTTCTAATACACCAAATATTCTTACACATCATATTTAGACCCTTAAGACAAGTCATTCGCTTCCTTCCCAGCCATAACTTACACCTTTCCTTACGCCCGTAATCGATTCTGATTATTCGGTGGAGCAGCTCCCGCTTGATGTCCTACTCGTGGTCGTCACGGTTGTATCAGCGGCCTAACCTGATTGGCCGGCTGGATAGCTCCAAATTGATTTCCATTCCGAGGCGGCGGCAGTGGTAATGCAAGCGACCCAGCCTGTCTGTTATTGGGGCATTTCCTGAACTGATGGCCCATTCCGCCACATATAAAACACGCTCCACCCATGTTCGGGCAAGGTCCACTACCATGCCTCCCTCCACACAATCGGCATGGGGCATTCTGAAAGCGATTCGACTTCCCGATATTTCTCTGAACGGGAGGGACAAAATGATTATTTCCCGTCATAGGTCTCGTCCCAAAACAACGGTTCTCCCAAGCCAGGGCCTGCCGCGATCTAGAGGCGGCAGCCCTACCCATCAAGTCACACTCAATTGCCTGAGCCCGATCATAAATCTCATGATAACCCCTTAAGTTCAACGATATCATCTGACTACGGAGGTCCGGCTTCAGCCCATCTCGAAACCTCCGGGACTTGTCCAACGGATCCTCTACCATTCTTAGGGCAAACTTGGACA